CAGATGTATCAAAAACGAAACCAAAATTTGGGGTGCTTGCAGATCTATCAAAAACGGAACTCCTGGTGTATCAAAAAACGAAACTTTTGCGCTCAACTGATAGACAGCACGTGAATTGTAAGTGCTAGACATTCCCGGCAAGCATTTCTATTCGTATTAGCACTGTAATATATAGTACGACGCGCAGGAATCATGTCTTAGCATATGAGAATATACATTATTATTTACACGAAACATTGTCTTGGAAGTATATATCTTATGTCAATAAGAAAATTAGACGGTACAGTGATAATAATTTAATTTAATAACGCATACTGATACATCAATTCTTCAATAATGATCTAGCTTTATCTTTAACTAGCGTTGATGAGCAAGTCGAATCGTCCTTTAAACGCTAGCATGATTTTTGTCTTTATCGCACAGCTACAAAGTGTATGTGTTGTTTAATTTAACAAATTTATAATGATTAACTATTTGCCTCAACAGGGTGCACTACTATTGCAGGCTGATAACAGTGTTTTAAGCGACTTTGTTAAGCCTGTTTGAATTAGTTCATACGCAATTTTTTTGAGAAAAAAAACCATTATTCGAGCAGAAGAAGCTTGTTTCTGTAATACAAACCTTTTAAATTCGGTAATGCGGCTGATAACGTTTCTCGAATAAGTGAATACACATCTCCGAGAACAAAGTCCAATGGCATGGTATAAACCGGAGTTTACTCAATGGCGTTTTCCCTTTTTGTTCATTTATTGTGTCTGCGGGTAAAATTTAAAGCAAAATGACGTTTTTTTACCCCAATTCACAAGCACTTACGTTATCGGCTGTCTAAGATAGACTTGATTGAGTGCACCGCCGACAAATTTTGAAGCAAGATGGCGTTCTTTTTTGTCCATTTACGAGCACCAATACATTATCGGATGTTTAAAATGGAATTAATTGAATGCACTGCGGATAAATTTTAAAGCAAGATGGCGCTTTTTTTTTGTCCATTTACGAGCACTTACGTTATCGGGTGTTTAAAATGGAATTAATTGAATGCACTACTGACAAAATGACATTACCCCATTTATGAGCACTTGCGTTATCTACTGTCAAAATAGGAGTTAACAAAGATCATTTGATGCGACAACTATATTTACTCTGCAGAAATATGAACAATATGTTTATTTGGCGTTGTTCATGTGTTTGTTGTTAATTGTTCCATTTTCTTCTTTTTCACAAGTGATGTATCTGCGGATAGAAAATTACAATTCGTCTATTAGTCAATCGTAGAGCAAATGGCCGCTTTCACATGTAGATGCGCCATCAGGGATCTAAAATGGGACAATAAAGTCCCTTTGCACTTGCGTAGTCATAAACAAAAGCTTGTTTGAATGGCGTTATTCCCACAAAACATCATCTTACATGTTGCACATTGACTAATCAGGAAATCACATACAATGTCATGCATAACAATAATAAAGCTGATGATGCGTGCAAAGTATGACTTGGGTGTAAGTAATTGGCGGGTGATAATTGAGTGCGGATAACCAAATCATAGTAAAGAAAGGACACAAATCTTTTTTTCTGTTCAGCATACATCACAGTTGGATTATTAAATGTGCAACTACAGTATTGTCTCTCTTATCGTTATTATTTTACTGCGATCATGTTAAATCTACGAAACTATGCCAACTCTGTCTGGAATGATCCACCGTAGCGTAGCACAGATCCCTGAACACGACAGTTAATGATACCAAATGCATAATTATAATGATAGCGATAGTTGGCTAGTAAATGAGATGCCAAAGTGTTACACATTCTTTTTTTTTTTTTTTTGTTTACACTAAAAAAGAAAATATTTCGGATAAATTCCGATATTATATAAATCGCGTAATGCTCACAAAAGTTTTCCTCACTGATATTCTAATTTCCAATGACCGACACCTACCAACACATACACACATACCAATACAAACCCCCATATCACACTATCACGGCTTCGTGGAGCAACAAGTCTCAACTGCAAACAACACTCGACGATGCCTATCCAGCGTGGACCTTTGACGGCCTGGGCACTGGCAGGTGCTTTTTATACGGGACATTTTATGACAAGGTTTGCAAATATACTATGGTTTATTACTATTTAATTGATTGTAGACTTATATATATATATAATTATGCAGTGCCGAGATTTTACACTCCGCCATCGACGGATTCAGCTTCCCGGTTGTAAAGCACCGAAACGGCCCGACTGGACTACCGGGTTGGACGCCGTTTTGCACCAATCGTGGAGTAACACATGTGCAGCGGATGATGACTACTTGCGCTGGATAACTTATTCCCAGTTAGCAAACGTCCAGGAGTCATCGATGATGTTGTCACATGGTTGCACACAGACGGCCGAGCTACTTGACCGGAGGGCGAATAATCCGGTCAAGTAACGCTGAAGAAAATCAATGACGGCCCTTCATTTGATTTTCATCAGGTAAAAATCAATATTCTTATTGCACGTATGTTGTATATTGTATATTTGTTATCGTGATTACTAAAATAATCATAATTTTTATTCAATAATAGCTCGTTCTTGAGCAGCCGGAGGTTTTGACTCCTAGCAAGATTTGGATAATCGGTATTACTCGAGGCCCATCAACCCAAGACTACTACCTAGTCTTTTACAGTGACATCCGTACTGTATTAGAAATGGTGATGCGGCCATACGAGGATATCACATTTATCGATTATCCAAATTTTTGCGAATTCAAAGACCTCGGTTCCGGCGGCTACGCAACAGTGCAGACGGCACTTTACAGCGGCCCCCCAAAAAAGCTTGTCGTGCTCAAAAGGTTTAAAAACTTTGAGCGAAACATTGACTTGTTCGTAGCTGAGGTATGTATTAGTGACTCTCTATTGGCTTAAATAATAATAACAACAATAATAATCTAACTGTCATGTGAATTTTATATTTTAGAAACCAAGTATATCATCATCGACGGCTGACAAGAAATTTGCT